CACACTCTCTTTTGAGTGTCATTCTACCCTCTACCTGCTGGTCGGGTTAGGTGTTTGACCTCCCGAGGTTCTATGGGGACGCCCACCTCGTATTTTCGTCTTTCCTAGGAATTGAGGGACCGGCCCTGGCCTGACATGCTGGAGTCGAGAGGCACAGAAGGGGGTAAAAATGGTACCTGGATGTGGTCCTCTGTCTTAAGTGTACACATAGAAAGAGTAAGCTGTTACTTGGTACCATTATTTCTATTTTTCTATCTTTATCTTCTTTGTAACCATTTATATATATATATATTTGCTAGCATTTAAGAAATAGAGCAATAGCCATTGTAACCATATGATTTATAAGCTTCTTTAATAAACCTGTAACTGTTTAAGCTTTAACCTGACTCCTTCAGTTGCTATAACAGCACCAAGCACAATTTAAAAGAACTTCAGCTGGTCATAAGGGACAGGTATAGGACACACCCTGCCCTGACCGTCGGCTGACAGAGGGGCAGTCTGAAAGGCTAAGCCAATCCTGGGAATCACTAGACAAGGAACAACCAATCAGACAGAATATCCAACTGCCTCTGGCTAGAGCCATGGTCAGCTGACAGCTTGCCTACTGAGTGCAGATCTGATCTCCTCATCTTCGAAAGCTGCTTTGGGTGGAAATGGAGCAGAAATGCCTAGTGGTCAGCGCAGCTTCCATCTGAGGAACGAGTGACAAGCCAGGGACATGTCAGTCTTGCAGAGAGAAGGCCGAAGGCCGAGGGGATAGAAAATCTGCAGAAGAAGAAGAAGTTACTCGCCCCGTGCAGTAACGATGGCCCTTCGAGATGGGTCCCTGTGGGTGCTGGTCTCGGAGTGTCCTCATGCCACTGATGGGAGATTTTGCTTAGCGGTGCCCCTGTTGCGCTCGCCATGTCGCGCTGCTCTTGTCTGCTCGGCGTGTGCAGCACAAGGCTTCCTCTGCCTCTTTCCTCTGACGCCCCTGAAAGGACTCCACGCAGAGGGGAGGAGGGCAGGTCGTGGAGCGCCCACAAGACACGCACTCGGAGAACCATGGTTACTGCACGAGGGGAGTAACTCCTCCGTCGAGTGGTGTCCCGGGGGATGCTCGCTCGGTGCCTCAGTAGCAGAACCCACAGATGGCGGTGGGCGTGGGGTCATTTATATTGAGGAGGAAGGACGCATCTGCCAGAGAGGTGGCAGGTTTGGGTCCTCTCTCCAGGGAGTCACGCTGGGCAAAGGTGTGATGGGAGGACCATGTTGCTGCTCTACGAATGTCCACCAGTGGTACATTATGCAGGAAAGCCGTTGCTGTGGCCATCCCACATGTAGAGTGAGCCCTGAATCTGTGGTAGCCATTCTCCACAAACCTGGCAAGCCGTGTCTATGCGGCTGCTGCGTGGAGACAGCTGTTCCCTTATGGGCCTGAACCAAGAGGTGAATAGCCTGTCTGACTTCCTGGTCCTCTTGGTGCTCTCTAAGTGAGGGCTCGTCTTGTGCCCAATGTGTGTGAGATGGGTTCTCTCGAGGTGCGAGGCGTAGGAAAATACTTACTGCCACTATGACGGCCACTTTCGTGGCGAGGTAGTGTGGTAGGGCGTGGAGACAGCTGTTCCCTTATGGGCCTGAACCAAGAGGTGAATAGCCTGTCTGACTTCCTGGTCCTCTTGGTGCTCTCTAAGTGAGGGCTCGTCTTGTGCCCAATGTGTGTGAGATGGGTTCTCTCGAGGTGCGAGGCGTAGGAAAATACTTACTGCCACTATGACGGCCACTTTCGTGGCGAGGTAGTGTGGTAGGGCTGTGGCTCGTGGCTCAAAGGGCGGCCTGGTGAGCGTGCCAAGAACGAGATTTAGGTCCCAAGGTGGTACTGGAGGGCATAATTTTGGGTGCATTTTCTGCAAGCCTGTAAGGAATCGCTTCTTCATCGGGTGCGCAGAGAGAAGTCAGCGACTGTTTCGTGGCTGCCGCCAGATGGACCTGAATGGAGCTGGTGGAGAGGCTGCATCACTGAGGTCCATCAGGTATGGGGGTGGCATTGGGGTGTGACTGACAAGGGGTGCACCACTGCGGAAAGCGTTTCCATTTGTTTTGGTAGGTGCGTCTCATGGAGGGACGTCTGAGATCTGGCACTGCTTAAGAGACGTTTGGCTTTTCTTTTTAACTTAAGTTCTAGCCCACGGTGTAATTCCTCCACGAGTATATTTTGTTACCTTTCCATCTGATCCTTATGCTTGCAACAGGAATATTGTTGTACTAATAAAAGTTTTCTCTTTTCTTTTTATTAACTTGGCATTGGTTACTTGTGTGTCCTGATTTTTATAATAGGCGTGACATTTCCCTAATGATCTTCCCCCTAATCTCGTTATTAATATTTGGGTGGTGGCAGCGGAAGTTTTATTCCCAAGATCTAGGTTTTTAAGATTTTGGGGGAAGTTTTATACCAAAGCCTGGTAGATAAGGCTTTGGGGTACACTTGCTGGCCCCCACTTCTGCATTTATCATGCCAGAAGCTATCAGTTACTGTGGTCTGGTCGGAGCGGTTCTTGCTGATTACTCTGGAGAGCAGTGGGACTGGTGGGAAGGCGTACGGGAGGAGAGCTCCAAGATACCCATCAACAAGGCTACCGCTATCTCTGAGGATGCTATTGGATGCTATCAGTTGCACTATTGTGAGTAATTTGTATTCTTTGTCTTGCACTTCTTGGAGTGTAACGTCCGGCGATCGAGCCATCCGTTTGAATAGTCTTGGAATTGTTTCAGGTTGCCTGCGGTGGAGAGGGCGATACCTGGAAAACTGCTTCGTCTAGAGCAGCCAAACAGTGTGGAGCGTGCGAAGAGCTCGCCGAGGTGGAGCAAGGTAAGTTGTTATCCTTGCTGCTGAATCTGCCTGGGCTATTGCCAAGGGCTGAGATGGTGAGAATTGCCCTGTGGGAGTCGGGGAGCGTGTAGCTGTATGCAGTGGCATAGCGGGCGGTGCATCTCGTGAGCGATTGCGATGGGAGGAGCAGGGATGATACCTGCGCCACGGCTCCCAGAGAGGCCACTGAGGCTGAAGGTGTTGTGGAGGATACAGCCATGGCTGGTTAAGCCACGGGAGTCGGACTCAGCTGTGCTGAGAGACTGAGGCCATCAGGGACCAGGCAGCTTGGGGCAGATCAGGCAGCGGTCGTGCTGGGGAAGCCCACAGCACTCATGAGCCAGCCCTGGCATGGGGCCTCGGCTGCCTGTGTCTCCAGGGACTTCTCCCAAAGGTTCTTCAGCCGCATTTTGCAGTCTGGCTGCATGTTTCAGCACTGCAGGACATCTCACACAGGACGCGTGCCCACCCCAGACGGGCTCTGAGTCCCGGCACGCGCCACAGTTCCTGGAGCCGGGAGAGCCTGGCGGGGGGAGAAAGCCGAGGCTGTCATGGGGCCTCGGCTGCCTGTGTCTCCAGGGACTTCTCCCAAAGGTTCTTCAGCCGCATTTTGCAGTCTGGCTGCATGTTTCAGCAGTGCAGGACATCTCACACAGGACGCGTGCCCACCCCAGACGGGCTCTGAGTCCCGGCACGCGCCACAGTTCCTGGAGCCGGGAGAGCCTGGCGGGGGGAGAAAGCCGAGGCCTCGGTGCAACACCCGGGAACTGAGCACAGGGATCCGCTGCGGCTGCACTCGCTGTGCTGGTTACCTGACTCCATGTCAGCCGAGGGAGCCTCGTGCCAGCGCCCAGCGCGGGGCCGGGCAGAGCTCAGCGGTGCGAGGGCGCCCGGGGGAAACCCCTCTGGCCCGTCTCCCCTGCGCTCTATGGTCCTCCAGGGGGCTCCCCTCTGGCCCGTCTCCCCTGCGCTCTATGGTCCTCCAGGGGGCTCCCCTCTGGCCCGTCTCCCCTGCGCTCTATGGTCCTCCAGGGGGCTCCCCTCTGGCCCGTCTCCCCTGCGCTCTATGGTCCTCCAGGGGGCTCCCCTCTGGCCCGTCTCCCCTGCGCTCTATGGTCCTCCAGGGGGCTCCCCTCTGGCCCGTCTCCCCTGCGCTCTATGGTCCTCCAGGGGGCTCCCCTCTGGCCCGTCTCCCCTGCGCTCTATGGTCCTTACGCGGGCTCCACTCTAGCCCGCCTCCCCTGCGCTCTATGGTCCCCCACGTGGGCTCCGCTCTAGCCCGCCTCCCCTGCGCTCTATGGTCCCCCACGCGGGCTCCGCTCTAGCCCCACCCCCCTGCGCTCTATGGTCCCCCACGCGGGCTCCGCTCTAAGCTCCGACGCCCGCGTGTCTTCTATGAAGTGATGACAACTGTTATGTGAAAAAAATCTTAAATATTTTAGCACAATGTGCATTT